ACATGCACCCACACCCCTCTCGCACTGCCATACATGCAGACCCCCCACATCCCCTCATACACCCCAGCCATGCCCCACGCACCCCATACCCACACACTCGCAGCCCCCCACAAACCTGTACGCACCCCCCACGATAGACAAGTGTAAGACTTCATTTTAAGCTGTTGTGCAATCACCTCTATGTACACTACACAAACGCATGTAAATCAGGACAAAAATAGTTTTTGAAATCAAATTAATGAATGTTGTGGATGTTTGCTTTTTAAAACATAATTTGGCATTTTTCTGGTTCCGAGATGACAAAACCACTTCCTGAAAGGAGTACTTCTGGGGGGCAAGGGAAGGGACTTCAGGTGGCAAAGGTCAGGGGGTGGGACTTCTAGTCACAGGATGGCGACCAGGGGGTGGGGCACCTGCCAAGAGGTGGGGCTACCCATGCAGCCCTCCAGTTTGCCAAAACTTGGTAAGCAGCCTTCTGCCCAAAATAACTGCCTGCCCCTGAAGTAGCCCCTTCTCAAATTTACCCCATGTTTTCATATACTAAATCCCCTTATAACAACCAGACAAACATGTAGTAGTCATAAATATTATAGGCAGTCATAAATATTACAACAGACATCTCTGATCCAAATGCTGATAGCAGTTATTTTGTTGGAAAATTATTATGTTTGTGACTTCAGCTGAGAGAAAGCCCACAGCTCCAACCTATTTTAAACTGGTGTTGCTACTCAGGTTATTAGAATAAATCTTGCAATATTCTGTTTTTTTCCTTAAAATTGAGTATTCTGGAGGCAAGCGATTTTGAAAGAAATCTTAGATTTAACACAGTAGATGGAAAATAAAAATTAAACCCAAATGTATTATGTATTTTCATCAGTCTTATGATTTTTTGGTCCCTGGCATGATTTTTGGACACCTGGGGCTGGCAATACAAGAATTAAATCAGGTGATAAGCAATCACGTATCTAGTACATTTCATTCACACATTTCTAAGAATTTACAATAGGTAGGCAATCATCATAGTCTTCCGTGCCTGAGTTTTCCTCATCTGTGAAATGGTAATGAGCCTTGCCCACGTTACCTCATCAAGTATTTGTCTACACAGGCAGTTATTCCCGCGTTCTTTACGCTGAGTTGGTTTAATTCAGTGAAAGCAACACTCTTGCAAATAAAGCATGGGGTAAGACACGCATGCGGGAAATTAACTGCTACTAGCTAATTTGCTTTTAAGTTCACACTTTACCTTAATCTGAATTAAATTCCCAGTGTACACAAACCCTGAGGTACCGACAGAAATGAGAACAGAACCCACATCTCCTGACTCCCCACTCACTAACCTACTTTTTATGGTCCAACCTGCCTCCTGAAAGAAAAGGGTGACTGAGCTCTTCCGC